CCCCGCAACAGCAGCAACGCTCCGAAGGGAAAAAAATAAAAAAGGCACGAATCCGCTACCGCGAACACGCGGCCTCACGCAAGCACACGTCACGCACGCCGACGCCGGGTGCCGGAGGGGCCCTTTAAGGAAGGGGGCGGGGGCTGTGCCTGGCGTTCTTCTGCGCATGCGTCGCGCGGGCCGGGGCGGCAGTTCCGGGTTGGGCGGCCACGTGGGGCGCGCGGGCCGGGTTAGGGGCGTCCCCGCCCCCGCCGTGAACGTGCTCCTTTGTGGCCTCGCCCCCGCGTGCTCCTCTCCGGGCAGAGCCGAAGGCACCAACACCCGCGCGTCGCCCCTGCACCGGTTGCATCCGAGTCGTTTCCGTTCCGACTTAACACAGCTGTAGCTGCCGAGACCCAACAAACAAACGCATCCGTCGGGGTCACCAGGGTTCCCGCTGCCGGAGGCGAAGCCTGCCCGGCCGGCCCCGCCCGCCGCGACGCGGGAGCCCGCAGAGCAGATGCGGCTCCAGGGGATGAAGCGGGGGCACGGACCGGGTGGAGGGAAGGGACCTCGGAGGTCACGTCTAGTCCGGCCCCTGCGCCAAGCAGGACCAGCCCCAGCCCCAGCCCCTCCCAGCGGAGCGGGGCCGGAAGAGAAGCCGGTCGCGGGACACGAAGCAGGGGCCCGCGGTGGGGCAGCGCGGCCAGGGGAGTTCAGGCTGGACTTCAGGAGAAGCTTGCTGGCGAGGAGAGTGGGGAAGCGCTGGGGCGGGGGGGTCGCCATCCTCGGAGGTGTTGAAGACCTGGCTCAACAAAGCCTTGTGTGGGATGCTGGGGCTGGGGCTGGGGCTGGCCCTGCTTGGAGCGGGGGTTGGAGTAGACGTGAGCTCCCTTCAACCTTCGTTGTGTGCGCGAGGGGACGTGCTGGCAAATTACATAACTGGATCACCAAGCTTGTTGTCCGTTGAGCAGGGAAGGGGAAATATCTTGATGTCATTGTATGAAATGAGAGGTATTGTCTCGGCCAAAGGCCTCGCTTTGAACTGAAAGATGGCCCCGGTTGGCCTGGAACAGATCAGTTGCTAAAACTCCCCCCAAACTTGGAATCAGCTGAAGCTGCTCAAGCCAACAGGCCCGATACCCTCGAAGAAGACGGCCCACTTGATGGCATCTAAGCAAACCGGACCGAGCCCTGAAAGGGAGCAAACTAGGTGAATGCAGTAACGAGGGGAATCGGTCACCAGGAGGATCAGGAGTAACCCAAAGGAACCAAACGGGCAGAGCTAAAGGCTTTGCCTGGGTGCGGAGCAAGGCTTTACTGGAACATGAGGGTAGGGGGTTACTGCTAGCTGTGGGGGCGTGCGGTGCAGCTCTGCGTCATCCGGCCATGCTCTGACTGTTAAAAAAGTAAAATGTATAAAATCCCTGGTTTGTGTAAGAGACGCTGGAATTAATGTGTTAATCCCCCAGGCAGCAGTCGGACCAGCTGCCTGACCGCGATTAAAGCTATTTTGGTCACAAACTCTCCGCTCCTGCTCTGTGTTCCAGCTTCCTCGGTAAGGGGCTGCGCCGGCCACAACAACAGGCTGAGCCAGAAATGGTCTCGGCTAGCCACTTTGCAATTTGGAAAATGCAGAGACCAGTGCACCCCACATGAAACAATTGTCCAGCACCTGGATGGCTAGGTCCCATCACGTGTGACCCACGAGCCACGAAGCTGCATCATAACATTGGAGAACACATCAGACCAGAACAAGGCGGGTTAACTTGATGTCCTACAAAGCAGCACATCAAAAGCATGTCTGGCGCACAGATCTGCCTTGACCTGGCGTGTTTTTGGTCTCAGCCCACAAACATAGTCTGCAAAATAGAGAGCGGTTACGTTATCGCCACAACCGCAGCACCCATCCAGGGAGATGCATCCTGTTAAGAGCACTGCAAAAACCTCTGCCTGGCACCTGTGCCCTGCCAGCAAGCCAGCGAGTCTGGTGCAGAAATTCCAGGCAGCTGGTCACAACCCCATAGTTTAGAGTGAATTAATTCCATTTTGCACCGAAAACTGGGATTCATCCTGCTGGTTCTGATTAAAAACGATGGCATAGCCTCCTCAAACCTACTGCACTTTGGGTAAAGAGCATGGATTAATAAAGAACTTCAAGAAATCAAGAACAGATTTATATATAAGTTATAAGTAATTAAAAACTCAATACCTCAGGAAAGCTACCATGAGGTGGCTTTTTTCTCTCCTGAATAACCTTCATAATGGAATAATTCTGGTTTTTCAGCATTCCCGGTTAGTTCTACGACACAGAAATCCACACACAGGTGCCGTTAAAGTGTTCAAGCCATCCTTGAGTTAAGCCGTAGCAATTGCTGTGTCTTGCTGTGGCTTCGGGCAGGGCTGGTTGCGCTGCCTGCTATTGAGGTTCCCTGATTTCAGTGATTTGTGTCTTTGTCGAGCCGTAGCTGCTCGGGCTGTGATTTCCTGTAGAAAATTACAGCCTAAATTACAGCAGCTGTTTCTGAGCACGAGGCTAGGATGAAATAGGGGTTTTTTGCCTGTTAAATAAAAAGCAGCGGTAATGGGGGTTTTGGAGAACTCCAGCACCTGCATTCCTGAGAGGAGGGTCTTGAAAGTAGGGTGCACTTTGCCTCAGGGATGTGTCTTCTGCCGTCCCCATCCAAACCTGCTCAGATTTGGCCGGGTTACAAGCCTGGAAGGATCGTAGCTGGCACGCACTCAGTAGAGAGACAGTGGAATTCTCTTACCCTCAATGCACCCAAAATGCAGCTTTCCAGCTGCAAGAGCAGCATGTCCAGCACCGAGGCCTGGCTTCCGATTTTGTTACACGTGCAGCACAAATGTGTATCGGTCTGCATAGCCATGGAGCACGTGCAGGAGGCTGCACGTTGTTGGGTGTGCACAGGGCTGCGCATGTGCGGACGTGAGCATGAGATCAGGCCTCTCAAATGCTGCATTAGCCTCTTGGCTGCTGGCACCAACACGGCAGGGCTGGTGGCTGTGGCAAGAAGCCCGGCAGTCCAGATCCGCATTGCTAGCTCATTTTGAGTTGGACACCCCTGTCCTAGTGGTTTGGGCACTCACCCAGGAGCTGCGAGATGTAGGGTCTATATCAGCTCCTGGCTGCGTCTCTGACTTCAAGCGCAGCCCTCGGACCACCAGGCTGGAGGGCGCACATTTGCCAGGCTCTTCTCCAGCCTGCTTGAATCGGACCCGCTCGGGGCCAGGAGGAAGCGCACAAACCGGGGGGGAGCACGGCTCGGGGAGAGAAGCACGTATTTGGGTTCTAGCTTAGACCCTTCCCCCCCCACCCGAAAGGGCAGCCACTTCTCTCCACTCGTTTCATTCAGCGCAGGCAGGAGCCACAGAGATCCACGAATGCTCCCCACTGGCACCGGCCCACGGCTGCACAGCCCCGCCTGCCTGCCCCTGCTCCCGCGCCAGGTGCTGCTGGTGCAGCAAAGCTGGGGTGGGCAGTATGCAGGCCCACGTGCAGGGAGCCCCTTCTGCCTGCAACGGCTCCCTGCCCTCTAGCGGCACCCGCAGCCGTCCGCCACCATGTCCTTGTAGGTCTTCAGGACAACGTCGTCGTGCTGGTCCAGGTAGAGCAGGGCCACGGGGCTGAGCGCGGTGGGGACGCAGCAGGCCCGTGGCACGCTGGCATTCACTGAGCTGAGCAGCGTCTGCACCGTGGCGTGGCTGGAAGAGCCCTTTGGGCGGGGGGCTGGACTCGATGATCTTCCGAGGTCCCTTCCATCCCTGATGTCTATGAAATCTATGAAATCATGTGTGCGGCCAGGGGGAAGCGGCATTCCCCGCGGCAGTAGAAGGCATGGTAGCCGCTGGGAGCCACGATCCAGTCATCCCACCCCATGTCCCTGAAGTCCACAAACGGGGGTGCCTGTGGCACCGGGCCGGGCCTTTCTTGGTCTTTGGGCTCTTCCGCTTGCTCCGGGGCCTGGGAGACCTCCTGCCTGCTCTCCCATCTCGGCCGGTGGCCTGACCTCTGCTCCGCTTGCCCCAGGCACTCAGGGGCTTGCTCCTCCGGTCGTGACTGTAGGTGACCAGCAAAGGCCGTTCCGGGGCCCACCGCCCCTCGGCCTCCCTGGGGGAGCGTCTTGCTCGGAGGTGCGGGTCCCACAGCGAGCTGCTGTTTCTGTGAACCACCTCCACCAGGAACCCGAGCTGGCGCTTCCCCACTCGGACCGCGGCCGTGACGTCGAAGCTCTGCCACCTCGGCTGGTCCTGAGCCACGACGCGGCGCTCCAGCAGCCAGTGCTGGGCCCCAGCCACCTCGCAGGGGTCCGGCGCGTGGTACAGGCTGATGCGAGAGCCTTGGGCCCCCGTCTCCTGGCGGTAGAAGCGCAGCTCCAGAGCCAGCAGTTCCTCCTCGTCGGGGAGGCCGGAGATGTTGAACAAGACGTAGGACCATCCTGCCGCTCCTCCGTCCTCAGGGCCCCACTGCTGCCCACCTGCACAAAGCACACAAGCAGCGCGGGCTGGAGGGGAGCTCGCAGCCGCAGCCGCACCTTGGGGCCGCGCGTGCGACATGGGAGGCCGCATCCGGAGCGGGTGAGTCACCCACGTGTGCCCCGGGAGAAACCCCCTCAGCAGAAGCAGAGCAAGGGGGGAGCTGCCACGGGTCCCTGGAGAGCCCAGGCAGCCCCGTGTGTCCAGAGAGCTCGCGTCCTGAGCCCATTTCCTAGCGGCAGTCGGGGCCGCAGCAGGCGAGCGCGGGCTGATCCCCAGCGCTACCCAGCGGGGCCGGCTTCCCTGGCAGGACGGCGCTGTCTCGACAACACAGCGTCGCCCCGCAGTTGGCCGATTTCGGGTCCATCCCAGCACCTGCTTGTTCCCTCCCTGGCTGCAGACCGGGCGAGCACCTGTGGTAATCAGGGAAATCGAGTTGGCAAGGACCCACCAGGTCACATCCGGTCCAGCCCTTGCTCAGGACAGGATCAGCCCTGACTCAACCATCTCAGCCACCGGTCAGTCCAGCCTGGGCCCTGCTCCATTGCTGGACCACCTCAGAGCCAGGACGTTCCTCCTCATTTCCAGCCTGTTTCCCTTGCTGCAGCTTGAGGCCATTGCTCCTAGTCCTGTCCCCTGCGACCGTCCCCATCCCCTCTCCCACGGCCCTGCAGGGATCTGAAGGCTGGGATCAAATCCCCCTTCACTCTTCTCCCCCCCAGGCTCTTTCAGCCTTTCCTTGCAAGTCCTGGTTCCCGGACCCCCTAATCGCGTGCACTGCCCTGTGCCCAACTCTTCCCAGCCTGTCCAACTCCTTCGGGACACGTGGGGCCCAGAACCAGACGCGTCTGCCCAGGGCCGAGCAGAGCAGGTCTGTCCCAGCACACAGCCCTGCACGCGGCAGACCCCGGAGGGCATTGGGAAGCCAAGCCAGGACCTCACCCCGGTGTTGGCCTTCCCTGTGCGCCCCCCCGGGAACGGGAGCCATCCACCACCAAGGGAGGGGGTTGCCCTCGAGCGGCGCTGGTGCAGGTCCAGCAGGTACTGGGGCAGAGCCCGGGCAGGCCGCAGCTCGGGCAGCCGTGTGGTCCCAGGCGTCTCCCCTGGAATGCCTGCGGGGCCCAGGCAAGGATGGGCGGTGGGACCGGCTGGACAGCCGCGCTGGCGGCACCCGGAGAAGTCGTCCCGGGACCCGGGGTGCCCTCGGTCCCCAGCAGCATGGGTGGCATCAGCAGAATCAGGAGGAGAGGCAGGCAAGCAGGCACCATCATGGAGCTGCAGGAGACAGAGATCAGCCTGGCTAGGGCGTGGGGGGGTGCACCTCCTCAGATCAGCCTGGACGGGGGCACCTCCTCGCAGTTCTCCCCGAGCCAAGGCTGCCCCCCGAGCCAGCTGCAGCAGCCGGGGCAGGGAGCAGCTGGTGAGACGCCGACCCCCTGCCAGGGGCTTCCCCCCACCCAGGCTGCTCTGCGCCGCCCCAGGGCCTGGACACGCACCGCGGTAGTGATGGGGGAGGCTGGCGTGGGCGGGCGATGGGGTCTCCTGGCTCTGCAGCTACGTCACCGTCCCTTGCCTACAAGGATAAAGCAGGGTTGATTTGCACTCGATGAGCTGGCCAAAGACTGGGTGGGCGGTAGGAAGGAAGCAGGGGAGAACACATCAGGTTTCTCCTGGGACCGAGCCTTTTATCCTGGGACCCTACAAACTCTTGTCCCACATGACGCACCGGTGAAGTGCCCAAGGTGACGCTATTTCTGAGGACAGCTGTGGTCAGTCTGACCCTGGTTGCAATGGCAGGAGCCCCGGGACTGGGACCAGGATGTGCCGGAGCCCTGGGTTTCTGCATCCGCTGCTGGTGCTAGGAACGGACAAGGCCATCACCTCTCCTTCAGCGGCAGCCCTGGTCTCTGCTCCCTCTGCCACCAGCCCCAGCTGACTCGGATCGGCCGGGCAGCGGCTCATCCCGGGTTCCCGCCACCACAGAGGGCCTGAGGCCAGCACGGGGCCCTGGAGCCTGCCTCATGCGGCAGCTTTGGCTCGTAGGATGCCCTGGTGCAACAGGACCTACCTCCCTGGCTGCACGACACTGACGGCGCTGGAGGGGAGGCCGTGCAGGGACCCCACCTCTGCCCACAGCAGGGTCCCCGGAGGGGGCAGGATGTCGCTGGAGGCGGAGGGGCCATGTGCCACTGGCTGGGCACAGAGCGAGCTCTGCCCCGGGCTGTCTCCAAGCTGCTGGGAGCAGTGGCCTGGGGACCAGGAGCTCCGGGAACCAGAGGGGAGGCGGGGGGCACGAAGGGGTGGGGGTCGGGACAGACTTCTGGGGGCAGCAGGGAGTGCAAGGGCTGGGGCAGGGCAGTGGCTGCAAGGGCTGGCTGGGCGGGCCAGCGATGGGGGCAGGCAGATGGGGTGCAGTGAGGGCTGCGCTGCCAGTCCCATGTAGTCCCCCCGAGGAGCTGGGTGGCAAGGGCAGGTGCTTACCGGCGGAGCCTGGGGCCGCAGGGCAGAGTCCCTGGCTTCCTCCGGTGATGCAGGGCAGAGCAGGCCCCTTCCCTTGCAGGAGGGAGTCTCCGTCGCTGGGTGCTGGGGGCTGCCCCCATGCCCCGAGAAGGCCCAGCCTGCCACCCCTGGCGCTGGGGACCTGCCTGCCCCGCAGCACCTCCCCGGGACACCAGCCGAAGCCCCGGAGCGTCCCGCGGCTGCAGGACGTGAGGTCAGCGCCGTGTCCTGTGCCAGAACAAACAGCTCTTGCTCTGCCCCCTCTCGCTGCCCGGCTCCTGGACCCCGCCCAGGCAGTGGGGAAACCCCAAGTCCCAGTTCCTCCTCCAGGCATGGGGATCCCGTGCTACCCCCAGGCGGGGCTCAGGCAGCCTCACCTCTGTTCCCCCCCCGGCGCAGGGTGAGAGCGGGTGCCGTCCCCTCCGCTGCCCCTTTCCAAAGGACCAGGCACTTTTGCACCATCCAGCTGCACCGCCCTGGGCCCCAGACAAATTTGGGAGCAAAGCCCCTGAGAAACCAGGAGCAGCCGGGCAGGTCTTGGGATCCAGACTCCCCAAATCCTCTGGGAAACATGGTCATGCTCCTTGGCGTCTGCTGGTAAGGACGGTCGCGGCCCCCGGGGAGGCACAGGGCCCTGGGACCCTGCTGCAGCCACAGGCAGGCG